ATCTAGGACAGATCCACGAGTTAGTTTTGGGTTTTAATTTATGTACTATTTTGTAGATTTCCAACCCGATTGCTGTCAACTCCCAATCGTCATTTGGGTCGAGTTTCAAGATCGGAGATCGAAGCTATGATTGAAGAGATTCGTTGTAGTGATGTGGATTCTCATAACTTGAACCTTCTCTCGTCCCAGGCACTGCTGGCTATTAGGTGAGAATGTGTTATTTTTTACTAAAGCTTGGGAACCCAGCTCTGTATGTAGTTTTACTTAATAGTCGAAAATTGTTAAACCAAGCACATTACCGAGTTTTCCAATAAAAATTTTAGGCAATTAGATCTACAATGATTGAATTAGCTTTTCATAATGGTACTTCGATATCACAACGATTTTACTGGAAGAATATTACGATAAGTCTTAGTTAAGAGATTCATGATGATTCATTAGACATGTGGCTTGCTAGTCAGACAGCTGGATGTATTGGCCGGGGGAGGGGGGATACTGGCATCCTTTTACAATGTTCCCTTCCGGGTAAATTATCGATTTTTGGCTTTAACAAAGTACACTCAAATAGATAAAATTAAAACATCAAATATATTCCTAAATTACTGGAATTCTAATGGGCACTGAAATACGTCTGAAAGGTTGTCATTTTTGGAAACTTTAAAAGATGAGCGTTTCTCTTGAGAACTTCTGACTATAACCAATTAAAAATACCATTCTGAGAAATCGTCTAATTATAAACTTGGTAGTTTCACTAGCGTACTCGGATCAATGCCTAATTATCGATTCCAGAAATAGTTCCTATTTCTAATATGTTGCAGCGTGAATTTAATTTAAGCTGAGTTGGCGCATTTAGGGGTAGGAAGGGGAGCAAGGGAGATGATATTGATAAACAGGATGGGGGTTTTGGAATCTGACTCTTCGGTTTGGGTTTCAAATTTGTTAAAAACACAAGAAAAACTATTTGAATTGAACTCACGTACACAGCCAAATCTGCATTCAGCAACTGAAAATTTCCCTTTTTCGACTTCAACCCCTTAAAACGCACTTTTAATTTGATTTTTTTCGAATATATGGGGGAACGACCTTAAAAATCCTCCCCCTCTCCCCAAACCATTACAAAATAATATTCCCCTCCCCGCCCAGCAAGTGCTAGTTGCGTTGCGCTGCAGTTAATGACTTTAATTAAAAACACTTAAATTTAACATTAATTTTTAATTTCTGCGCTAAAGTTGCGCCTTTTTTTTTACTTTATTTCGATTTCATCCCGCGCCTCCCGTGCAGTTCCACTATCCCTTTCCGATCCCCGTCGAAATTTACCCCGGAAGGAAAATCAGGGGTGCTTAGTTATATAAACAAACTTTTAAACAAAATTTTGCAGACGCTCTGGAAAGTTAGCAATGATCGTTCAGTTTGTAACTTGTTTGTAACTTTATAAGTTGTACGGCCAATATGTTACGTTACAATGTAGAAAGTACAAGAGTCGCATCATGAAACATCCCCGCTTATGCAAAGATAGAAATATTTCATCAGAAAACACGAGGATTGGCCAAATTGCCTTTCAACCTGAACCTGCAGCCCCATGCCTGCTATAGAGGCCGTTCCTTCCATAAACTACAACTTAAGACGTCTCCTTCATTGGTAGTCAAGTGTACGGAGAAATTATTATCTATCTATCAGAAAAGAATTTTGCATTATGACATCTAGCGGCCAACATATTGTCTCCCTAAGTACGTGAACTACGCGAACACTATATCTATAGAAAGAACGGGCTCAGAGGACACAGATTGTAGTTGTACCGTCACGGACAAACCTCGTGGATATATAGCTGATCCCGATTTTCTAGAAATTTCTGATTATTAAAGATATTTATTTTAACACATTTAAAATCCTTTAAAATCTTATAACCCCTTAAAAGCCCATGTTTACAAACTTTATAATATTACACAATTTCTTCCTTACCAAATAAAATGCGAGTGTGTTTGAGTACAAATTGTGTACCTTATACTTTTGTAAACCAACTCAACTGGAAATTTATTTTATGAATTTAGTCGGTTTACAGAAAGAAGTTATAATATTGGGGCTTACTTAAGTTTATACGCAGACCGGTCCGTCTAGCGTCTACCAAATTTTGTCAGTAAAGCCAATCACATGGCCGGTGCAGCACCAATGGCTGCGATACTTCGAACCGGAAAATTTTTGCGACTTTTCTCCGGTGTCGCGCGTAATTTAGCTGCCAGTACTGGTAAAAGTGAAGAGACAGGATTAGTGCCAACTACTGGATTATGCTTTGACAACAATTTTTTAAGTCAAGCCAACTTTTCAATACAAAATGTGCTGCCTTACTTGGGAGTTTCAGATTCGGGACATGCGGAAGATAGGTAATTTTTAAAAATTATTTTTTTTAACGGAGAAATAATCGTTTCTTCGTGAAAATTGTTGTTTTAAATTTTAAAGTCATTTCACGTGTTTGATCGATAACTTGATAAACGAGTTTTTTAAACCTGTTTTTCTGGTTTTAATGTTACATAATTTATAGCTCTTAAAACCAACATTATAGGACATAAAACGAGTTGGATAATTTTATAGAGAACGAGTTTTGGACCCCCACTCTCCCCTTCTTTCACTTTTTTTACATGGATCCCATATGTAACACATCAATATAATCGGTCATGTGGCCGCAGCGCCCGGCCCCCTAGCCTATCCTAGCCGCTTTGCTCGGCCCCTTAGGAGGTAGTTAGGGTAGTGGG